ATTCTGGGTGGAGTTTGCATGTTCTCTCCGTGCATGTGTGGGTTTTCTCCAGGTACTCCAGTTTCCTCCCACAGACCAAAAATATGCATGTTAGGCTGATTGGTAACTCTAAATTGTCCCTAGGTGTGAGTGAGAGAGTGAATGGTTTTTTGTCTCATTTGTCGCTATGTGTCCCTGTGATGGACTTGCGTCCTGTCCAGGGTGTATGTACCCCGCCCCTCGCACAGTGATTGCTGGACATGGGCACCAGTGACCCCCATGACCCAAAATGGAAGAAGCGGGTAAAAGATAATGGATGGATGGATGTGTATTTCTACAGTCCACCAGTAACCTCCAGTGGAAGTAATTTAAGATCTTCCATCTTTGGTTAAAAAAAAACCCTGAAACTTCTCACAGCTGCTCAGATGAACCAAATGGTAAATGGACTACACTTGTACAGCTCCTTTATATCTTATCAAGACACTCAAAGCTCTTTACAACAATCTGTGCCCTCATCTACCCATTCATACACTCTACTAGATCTATACAAAGACTAATCTAATCATAGCTTTATCACATTCATACACCAATGGAACACACATCGGAGGCAATGAGGGGTTCAGTGTCTTGCCCAGGGACACTTAAGCATGAGACTGCTGGTGGAATCAAACCCCCAACTCTTGTATTGGAGGACAACTGCTCTAACCACTGAGCCACAGCTGCCAAAAGAAAATATTCAGACCCATCAGAGCTGATGCATGAACCTTCCCTTTCCCCAAAGGAATCAGTCCTTTCTCCACAACCTTTTCATCAGCTCGCTGACATTTAACCATGTAATTAACCCAAATGTATCCCCTTACCCCAAAGACATCAAAAACTGCCTCAAGACCTTCGAAGACCTTTGGAAACCCAACATGTGTTACACCTCGGAGGACAAGTAACCTACATGTGAAAAGTATGGACTCAGCAGCCAAAAGATGCAAGTCTGAACCTGAACCTGAGCCTGAACCTGGGACTGTGACACAGAATCCTAATGATTTCAGAGAACCATGTCTAAGTGGTCAGAACAGAGTTTTACATGTTTTCCACCAACACTCAGCATGGACACACCTACTGTTTGGTTTTCCTCACCCCGTCCTGTGCACACCTTAATACATAGGCCTCAGATGGAACAAGAACCTGCATGGGTTCAAACACCACCAGGGTATTTAAAGAACTCCATCTGGGGCACCTTAGGCACCTGACAAAACAGTGGGGTTATGTAGCATAGTTGTGATCTGTCAGTAGCTTACCAGCAGCAGGCAGCATTCAGATTGGCCTTAGTTTGGTCGAGTAAAACTGGAAAGAAGACTTGGACCAGTTCTAAAATATATTTTTACCATCTACAACTCCTTAAATCTCAGAAATTATCCAGCATACCAAGCAAATGCTACAAAGTATTATTACTCTGCAAGTTTTGCATCCATAAAGGTCTTGTCACAGCTTTATGCAGAAGATGTGGTTCTGTTGGGTGTCTTCAGGCCATGACCTTCAGCATACACTACTGGGGGGTGGGGGGTGTTGAAGCTGCTGGGATGAGAGTCAACTCCTCTGAAACCAAGGCCAAGGTTCTCAACCTGCTAAAGGTTCCCCTTCAGGTTGGGGAACAGAGACTTTGCCTCAAGCAGAAGGGTTCAAGTATTAGACTTGTTCCTAAGTGATGGTAGGATGGAGCAGGAAATGGATCGACAGATCAGGGTCTCTTCCTCAGTATTCCATCCATCCATTATCTTTACCTGCTTCTTCCTTTTCGGATCACGGGGGTCACTGGTACCTATATCTAGCTGTGCAAGAGCCAGGGGACACCTGGACAGGTTGCAAGTCCATCACAGGCACAAAGAGACAAACAACCATTCTCATTCTCTCATTTTCTCTCTCTCTCTCTCTCTCTCTCTCTCTCTCTCTCTCTCTCTCTCT